GGTATGTCATTGTAGTTTTGATTTGCAAGTTTCATTCTTCCCCATGTGGCTTTCCAATGTTCCCAGCACCCTTTATGGAAGAGACTTTCTTCTCTCCATGGTGTGTTTTTGGCTCCTTTGTCAAAACTCATTTGCCCATATGCATCTGGCTGTATGTTGGGACTCTCAGTTCTTTTCCATTGGTCTGTGTGTCTGTTTTTCTGCCAATACCATGCTGTTTTGATAACCGTAGCTCTGTAGTATAATTTGAAGTCAGGTAGTGTGATTACCTCCAGCTTCAATCTTTTTTCTCAGGATTGCTTTGTATATTCAGTGAAATCTTTTGTGGTTCCATACTAATCTGATAATTTTTGTTCTATTTCTTTAAAAAATTACATTGGGATTTTGATGGGGATTGCATTAAATATATATATTGCTTTGGGTAACATGGGCATTTTGATGGGGATTGCATTAAATATGTATATTGCTTTGGGTAACATGGCTGTGGTCTATACGCACTAGATGCCAGTGGATTGATTCTTCCAATCCATGAATGCAGACTATCTTTCCATTTCATTGTGTCTTTTCATTTTCTCTTAATAATGATTTGTAGTGTTTAGTATATAGGTCCTTCACATCCTTTGTTAAGATTATTCCTAGGTATTTTCTTTTGGTTGCAATTGCAGAAGGAATTGTTCTTTTCATTTTCTGACGTTTCATTGTTAGTATATAGGAAAGCATTGGATTTTTGTACATTGATTTTGTGTCTTGAAATTTGTTTATTTGTTAAACTATTTGTTTATTGTTTCTAATAGTTCTTGGGTGGAATCTTTAAGGTTTTCTATATACAGAATCATGTCATCTGCAAAAAGTGACACTTTTGCTTCTTTCTTCCCGATGTGAAAGCCTTTTATTGCTTATTCTTGCCTGATGGCTCTGGCTAGGACTATGTTGAATAGGAGTGTTGAGAGTGGGGATCCTTGTTGTGATTTTAGAGGAGAAGCTTTCAGTTTTCCACCATTGAGTGTGATACTGGCTGAGGGTTTGTCATATATGGTCCTTACTATCTCGAGGTACTTTCTTTCTATACCCATTTTATTGATTGTTTTAATCATAAATGGTTTTTATATATTACCAAATGCTTTTTCTATATTTATTGATGGGATTATATTATTTTTATCCCTTGTTTTGTTAATGTGGTATATTAGAATGTGTCATAGAATCTTGATATATTAGCTTCTAATCTTTTATAAGAAAAATATTCTTTTTGGTAAAAGTGATGCATGCTAATTATAAAGAAATCATACTTTGCAAAGATTAAAGTTTAGAAGGTCACTTCTAATCCTACCATCTAGAGATGCTATTAATATTAGGGTAGGCAACATTGTCAAGATCTATTTTATGTATATGTACGTGTATAGAATAATGGTTAGGTGGTTAGAAGGTAGGAGTGACTGAAAGATATTTGGTTGCCATTAGAAAGAATTTCCTAAAACGATCCTTATTTTTTAAGGATCTAAAATTAAGCAGATCCTTAAAAAATATTAAGAGGTTGGTATTATTGTGACATTCTTGCTTCAGTTTTAGGTGGCATATATTTACCTTTGATCATAAAGCAATTTTCAACAAATTTCAAAGAGATGAACTTTTTTAGAGTATTTTCTTTTACCATAGTGCAATTAAGCTAGTAATCAGTAACTAAAAGATAAATTTTAAAAATTGTCATTCTCTAAATAGCAAGAGAAGAAATTAGCATAGAAGTTGTAAAATACCAGTATTTTGGACTGAATTATTAAAACACAGTATCAAAACTTACTGGAACCAGTTTTGACGGGAATCTATTGCTTTAGATTATATATATAAAGTCTCTGCTTTTGGTAATGTGGAGTAAATTCTAACTCCCCTTTTCCATTATGCCACAATAATCCTATCTCAGGGAAAGTCTTATGCATTCCTCTATCTGTTAAATATTTATTGAATACCCACTGTATATCAGGCATATTGGGTGCTAGGTATATAGCGGGGTTTCTCAAGCTGACAGTATTAACATTTGAGAGTACACAATTTTTTTGTTGTTTGATGATGACTGTTGTGTACATTGTTTAGCACATAATGTTTAACAGCATCCATGGTCTGTACCCTCTAGATCAGTGATGGCAAACCTGTGACACGCGTGTCAGAGGTGACACGTGAACTCATTTTTTTGGTGGATTTTTCTTTGTTAGATGACATTTAAATATATAAACTAAATATCAAAAATATAAATCTTTGTTTTACGATGGTTGCAAATATCAAAAAATTTCTATATGTGACACGGCACCAGAGTTAAGTTAGGGTTTTTCAAAATGCTGACACGCCGAGCTCAAAAGGTTCACCATCACTGCTCTAGGTGCCAGTGGCACTCCTCCAATTATAAACAAAAATGTGTCTCAGTGTCCTCACTTGTGAAGTGGGGGTAAAAATTACATCTACTTTGAGAGTTGATGAATTATATAATAAACTAGAGGCCCAGTGCATGAATTCGTGCATGGGTGGGATCCGGCCAGCCTGGTCCCAATCAGGGTGGATCGGGGCCAGGCCTATAGAGAGGAGGAGATGGTGGGAGGTTGGCCGGCCGGACCCCCACATTCGGCCGGATCAGGGCCAGGCTGGCTGTGGGGAGGGGCCGCGGGCAATTGGCTGGTAGCCCCCCCCCGCCCCGGATTGGGGGGTGAGGCTGGCCGTGGGGAGGGTCTGTGGGTGGTGGGTGTTCCAGTCGCTGGCTTTTTATATATATAGATAGATGTGAAGTACTTAGAACAGTGCCTGGCATATACTTGGCACTTGATAAATGTTAGCTGTTATTTTATTAAACTAGGGGCCCGGTGCACGAAATTCGTGCACGGGTGGGGGGGGGTGTTCCTCAGCCCAGCCTGTCTCCTCTCACATACTGGGAGCCCTCAGGGGATGTCCTAGTGATGACTTAGGCCCGTGCCCTGCTCCCTTTGGGGATAGGGCCTAAGCCGCAGCCTGGCCTCCCTTTGTGGGAGGTGACCGGGCTGATCAGGAGAAGGCACCAGCCCCATGACCCCGCTGCTGCAGCCATTGCCAGTCACCGCAGCAAGTAAGGTTTTTTCATCAACACGGATTCCAGTCCCTTCACCATGAAAAAATGACAACTTTCTTTAGGCATTTTCAAGATGTGTCTTTCATATAATAATAATTTATTATTTTTTTTTATCCTCACCTGAGGATATGTTTCCATTGATTTTCAGAGAATGTGGAAGAGAAAGGGAAAGAGAGAGAAACATCAAAGTGAGAGGAACACTTTGATTGGTTGCCTCCTGCATGAGCCCTGACCTGGGCCCTGGCCAGGGAGGAGCCTGCAACCTAGGTACATGCCCTTGGTCAGAATTGAACTCAGACCCCTCTGGGGCTTCTGGGACCTGCCTGTGGCCCAGGATGCTGGCTTGCGCTGGTGGCTGCGCTGTCCTGCCCTGCCTGCAGTATGCAAATTAACCGCCATCTCTGTTGACGGTTAATTTGCATATCACACTGATTAGCCCATGGGAGGCGTAGCAAAGGTATGGTCAATTACCATGTTTGTCTATTATTAGATAGGATAAGTAAAAATATAGTACAGGATCTTTTATAACTTTGAGTACTTTTAGTTTGTTTCAAACTTAAAACTGAAAAGTTGGTATATTTTCTTGCGCTGAAGTGCACTCCATGGCGAACTCTTGACAACAATAGAACAATTGCAGGCTTCGTTGTGATTAAATGTTAAATGAACTCTTGGGATATTATGAAACACAGATTGAAAATCTGCTGTTAAGCAAAGTAAGTGTAGACTGATGGTTACTCCTAAGTCGATTAAGGAAGGATATATTTTAGTTAAAAGTAATCTGTATTTTACTTTGCTTAAAAAGTTTATAAATTGCAAAATGTGGAAAGTGTTTTTTACTTCCTCTGTTATTTATGAGCTAGCAGAAATTTTTATTTAAAACTTTAACATAGAGGGGATAGATGGTGATGGAAAAATAAAAGTAAAAAAACTATTTAAAAATAGTTCTAATGTTTTCTCATAAGAAAATAAAATTTAAGCATATACCAGCCATTTTGCATTCCCACCATGAATGAAGAAGAATACCTCTTTTTCTATAACCAAACAGTGTAATCAAACTTTTGAATTTTTACCAGTCTGATAGGTGAGAAATGGTATTCATGTAGTTCAAATGTGCATTTTTCTAATTATGAGTTAGATTGAACACACTTTTATATGCTTAAAGGCCATTTTTATGTCCTCTTATGAATTCTCTGGTCATATCTTTAGCCTGTTTTTACATCTGAGAGTTTTCATCTTCCCCACCACCCCCCTCAGTCTCAGTGTTTAAGTTTTTCAAATACTTAGCACTAATTTTTTAGACTTACATATACTCGAGGCCAGTACATGAAATTCATGCATGGGTAGGGTCCGTAGGCCTGGTCGGTGATCAGTGCCAATTGGGGTCTTCTGGCTACCGGCTGGGGCCTTCCTTCATTCAGCGCCACCCCCTGGTGGTCAGTGCATGTCATAGCAAGTGATCAAAATCCCATTCTCCGGGTCAACTCCTGAGGGGACACTTTGCACATTAGCCTTTTATATATATAGATAGATAAATAGATAGATAGATAGATAGATAGATAGATAGATAGATAGATAGAGTCTTCAAATCAGTTTAGATGTGTTGAAGGAAGTGATACATATTTTAGTTTTTTATAACTTCCTTCCTGCTGATAGTTACTTATGTTTTGAATTTATTTCCAATTATTGTATTGCATATTGGTCAGTTCCTACAACAAGCAAGGAGGAAGTACATTTTCTTTTTTTGACAGTTGATTATATTTTAGAGCATAGAATCCCAGGGAACAAGCTGTATTACTAGTGAATCTCATACATATCAGCCCATTGAGCTCTATTTAGCAGTCTTTGACATTATTCTGAAAGGAACATACATTTAATAGGGTTTTGTCTCTTTTTTTTTTTTTTTTTTTTTTTTCAGATACTGGCCAAAAGAAGAGCCTAGACAAAAAAGATGGGAGACGAATGTCTTTTCAGAAACCTAAAGGGACTATTGAGTATACTGTAAGTTGTTTGCATTTTAAAAAGCTGATTTATCTCTGCATTAGTCTTAATTAAAATATTCTTTGTCTTCTCAGTGTTAAATCTTGACTGTTTTCTATGAATCATTAAAATTGAACCAATTATCAAAACCGTAAATCAGTGGTTCTCAACCTTCTGGCCCTTTAAATACAGTTCCTCATGTTGTGACCCAACCATAAAATTATTTTCGTTGCTACTTCATAACTGTAATGTTGCTACTGTTATGAATCGTAATGTAAATATCTGATATGCAGGATGGTCTTAGGTGACCATCCTGTGAAAGGGTCATTCGACCACCAAAGGGGTCGCGACCCACAGATTGAGAACCGTTGCCTTAAATCAATTTAAGTATTTTAAAAAGGTTAGGAACCAGATAACTTAGCATAGAATATTTACTGTCTAAAAAAATCTCTTCTTAAAGCATATTACAAACTTAAACTGAGTGTGTTTGTACCTTCTCTGTATGCTTGAGAAATTTAGAAAATAAGTTCAAATAGGAAAATATTGGGTAATGTAATTTGATATATTCATTAGTGTTTATTAAGGCATAAGATTATAGGCATGAAGTATAAGATATTATCTACACAGGTAACCATGTAGTTGTTCAGAATTGTTAACGTTTAGTTGATTTTGAATTCAGGAGTTTACCACTCTTTGTTTTGGTGATTCAATAAAACTTGTATTATCTGTAGCAAAGTTAAATTCAAATTAAGAGCCATTATTTTGGAGGGAAGGTTAATTTTAAGTTGAAATTATTTTTTTCTTAATGTTATAAATGACCTTTGGGATATAATCAAGTATTTACCAGAAAAGTTATGAAACATCCTCTAGCAGGTCTTTGATTAATTAGTCTGTTAGTCTTTTTTTAATTTCTTAATCCTTTATTTTATATGTCAAATCCTAAATAAAAGAAACAAGTGTAATTTAAAACTAAGGTATTTTGTCTTATAATCTATTCTTATTATAATTTTTTAAATATTCATAAAACACATTTACATCAAATTCAAAACATAATTTTTATATTGAGGAAAATATATATCCCTATATGTTTTTTAAAATTTTTAATATCACAGTGTACTCTCAAAATGTGTTTATTCTAAAATATTTATGATCTAGCTTAAATGCATTTCCAAATCACCTACATATAGTATAAACTTATCTTGTACTTTAGATAGCTTTAAAGTTAAAAAATATGCATATGTATACATATATACACATATGTGCACAGACACATAATGTTTTGTTTAGAGAGAGAGGGAGGAGATGGAAAGAGAGAAACATCAATGTGAGAGTGAAACATTGATTGGCTGCTCCTGCAAAGAAATAGTATGTAGCCCTAACCGGTTTGGCTCGGTGGGTAGAGCGTCGGCCTATGGACTGAAAGGTCCCAGGTTCGATTATGGCCAAGGGCATGTACCTTGGTTGCGGGCACATCCCCAGTAGGAGGTGTGCAGGAGGCAGCTGATCGATGTTCCTCTCTCATTGATGTTTCTAGCTCTCTATCCCTCTCCTTTCCGCTCTGTTAAAAATCAATAAAGTATATTTTTAAAAAAAGAAAAGAAATAGTATATAATAAAAATCACTTGTTTGTGTTTAGTAAATTATATTATCTATTTTCAAATTTTTCAAGAAGAGGCTCACATGTAATTATGATCTATAATGATAAAGCATATACTCTATATAATAGGTTGAAATCATTTGCTAAAATGAACTGAATTTTTCAAGTTATCCTATCTTCAAAGATGGAAATACCACTTGTTAATCAAATGTAAGATTGATCTGTAAACGTATTAATGATCACTAAACCTCATAGTTTCAGTTTTTCTGTTTTAAGGGGTTAAAATAATGTATGTTTTCTTTTAAACAGGTTGAATCAAGGGATTCCTTGAATAGTATAGCCCTGAAATTTGATACAACACCAAATGAACTTGTTCAGTTAAATAAGTTATTCTCCCGAGCAGTTGTTACTGGACAGGTAGGTTTTTTTCTATGCATTTGTGTTTAGAAGCATTAAGTACCAAGACGGAAAGTATTCATTGCAACATAGCTAATAATATAGAAAATTTAAGAATAATAATTTTATGCATGCTTTGAACAAATCAGATTGGCTACAGAAGAGAAAATTAACTGTCACTATGTCCAAATGATTTTTTTCTTAATACATATACAAAATAATTTTGATGTGTCTTTTAAATTTAGTTTTAAAGAGCTTTTTAAAATATCCAAAGCAATACATGATAAAAAAAATTCAGACATTTTTAAAGGTTAAGTTATCCTAACTCAGATACCTAGTTTCTTTTTAAAGAAGCAACCACAGTTACTAATTTGTGTCCCCTTCCAGAAATATTCTAGCCCTTTAAAAATAGTTAGTTAGTTAGTTCTTACCCAAGGATATTTTCTCATTGATTTTTAGAGAGAGTGGAAGGGAGGGAATGAGGGGGGGGGTGGGGAGAGAGAGAGAGAGAGAGAGAGAGAGAGAGAGAGAGAGAAGAAAGAGAGAGAGAGAGAGAAAGAAGGGATGGGGGGGAGAGAGAGAGAGATAGAGATATGTGAGAAAGATACACCGATTAGTTGCCTTCTGAACGTGCCCACACCCAGGCTGGATCGAACCTGCAATTCAGGTACATGCTCTTGACCTATAATTGAACCCTCAACCCTTAGGTGCACAGGCAGGTGCTCTAAACCCTGAGTCACACTTGACAGGACTTCTAACCTTATTTTTTTTATTTGACTTTGACTTTGGAAAATACTTTATATAAGCACAGTACAATCTCGGATTCTTTTATGTCTGGAGTTGCGCTGTATTTATATACTTTAACTAGACAGTGTAAGCTTTCGACTATTTTTACTGTTTTGCTATGCCCACTGTAGGGAACACTCTTGTACATATCTTTTTTTCTTTATATACGGAGATTTCTATAAAGTCCTTGAAGTAAAATTGCTGTAATAAAGAATATGTGCATTTAAAATTTTGCTAGCTACTGCAAAATTGTTTTTTAAGAGGAACTCCCATAGGGTATAGCAATTACTGTTTCCCTACCCTATTCCTGATAGTATGTACGTATTATCAAACTTTTCTTAATTGAATTTAAATATGTGTTTTTTTATTTTATTACAATTATTATGGTGAAAACATTCTTTTAATCTGAAGATTTTTATTCTATTTGTTGCTAAAGGTCATTAACAGTACTTGCTAATAAAACATGATCTGCTTGTTAATATTTCAGTTTGTGTGAATGTTTTCTTTTCTTCCAGGTTTTATATGTTCCTGATCCTGACTATGTTTCCAGTGTGGAGAGCTCTCCATCGCTAAGCCCCATAAGTCCCCTGTCACCAACATCGTCTGAGGCTGAATTTGATAAGGCCACTGTAAGTGTCCCTACTTTTCAAAGATAGCTGTGAATATATCTCACTGTACATATATATATCACCATGTTTTTTAAATCCTACTTTGACTATTGTAGAATAAAATTTTTCTGTTTCTTTTTTACTTAAATTTGTAGATCCCAGTTTTTAAAGTGAAACATTCTTACTAAACCAGGCAGCATAAATCAATTTACTGTTGGTGGTGTTGGTCCAAGGATAGTTACCAATTCACTCTTAAAAATACCATGTAATAATTTCACTAAGGAAGTTTTACCTAACAAACATTAGAATATCATGATAGGAAGTCCATGTTCAATTTGATTATTATTTCATTTTCTATGAATATTTACATAGTACTTAGAACTCTTGAGTTCTTGACATACTACCTTTAAAAAATAATTTATTATCATCTTAATCATTCTTCTGAGAATTAATTCTAAGTAATTAATAGTGGATTAATTTAGAATTTTTAAGGAATGAATGTTTTATGTAAGTTATTTTACAAATGAATTTCAAGGAACCAAACTGTTAGGGCTTTGGCCAGTGACTTCAGCTGTGAAAGAATTCACAACTGAGAGGAGATAGATGCAGAGAGGAAGTGTATTTTACTTTCCCGGGAAGGGCTGGTCCATTGCTAACCAGTACTAGGGCAAGAAGTAAGCGGTGGCTCCCCCTTTTAAAGCCTTGGCTGCAATTGCTAGGTAACAAGGAAGGGAGGAGGATTTGGGGGACCAGGGGGGTTATCTTTGAAAGGTTAGTTTGCTTATTTTAGTCTGGGCAGATGTCGGAGGGAGGTGTCTTCATTAGCATCTTCACAAGCCTGTAAAACATCCTTAAAGCAAAAGTTACAAGAGTTTGAAAGGGGGGCAGCTTTTTTTGAAACTCTCTGGCATCTGTTTCCCTGGAGTCATGAAAACCACAGGGAGGAGGGGTATGCAAGGTTGTAGCCTTGAAAGTAGCTTATCTTGTCTTGCAGTTTGAGAAGAGGTGCTGTTTGAATCAAAGGAGCTAACAATCTTGGTGTCTTATTACCAGGCCCTTCTCATAAATTGTGGAAGGCTAAAGCAAGGAAAAAGAGGCCTTTTTCTTGCCCTCACACTCACACAGATTTTGAATAAAATGTCTCTGAAAGGAATTATATTTTTGTGCCTTTCTATGTAAATTGATACTAATTAGAATTTCCCATTTTCATAATGACCTAATGATTATGTTTCTACTAGCGGCCCAGTGCATGAGATTCATGCACTGGGGAGGCGGGGGGGGGGGGGGAGCGTCCCTCAGCCTGGCCTGTGCCCTCTTGCAGTCCAAGACCCCTCAGGGGATGTCTGCCTGCTGGCTAAACCGGCAGTCAGACACCCCTCTCGCAGTCAGGGGCTCTCGCAGTCCGGGACCCCTCGCTCCTTACCGCCTGCCTGCAGCGGAGGCAGGAGAGGCTCCCGCCACCACTGCTGCACTCCCCAGCTGTGAGCCCGGCTTCTGGCTAAGCAGCGCTTCCCCTGTGGGAGCGCACTGACCACCAGGGGGCAGCTCCTGCATTGAGTGTCTGCCCCCTGGTGGTCAGTGTGTGTCATAGCGACTGGTTGTTCTGCCGTTAGGTCGATTTGCATATTATGCTTTTATTATATAGGCCATAAATGGTTCTCCTCTCCCTCCATTAAATGGCTAGACCAGGGGTCCTCAAACTATGGCCCACGGGCCACATGCAAATACAAATATTGCATTTGTTCCTGTTTTGTTTTTTTACTTCAAAATAAGATATATGCAGTGTGCATAGGAATTTGTTCATAGTTTTTTTTTAAACTATAGTCCGGCCCTCCAACGGTCTGAGAGACAGTGAACTGGCCCCCTGTTTAAAAAGTTTGAGGACCCCTGGGCTAGACTCATGAGAGAATCTTCTCTGTTGATCTGCTGACTTTAGGAGACACCGGTTTCTTCTCTGCTCCACTTTGCACTGTAAGTTTAGGATGCCAAATGGCGTACTAGTAATAAAACAAAAAGTATTCATTTTAATTTGCCAATGGAGCTTCAGAAAGCATTCAAGTGAGCTTCAGCATCACTGCATTAAGAATCAGAATCTATCAACAACAGTTGGGTGTGAGTGACTATGAGGTAAAAGTTATTTTCTCTAAGAAGTGCCTGTGGTTTCCAGAGGGAAGGGAATGGAGTAGTAAAGGGTAAAGGGGTCCAAATGTATGGTAATAGAAGATGATTTAACTTTGGGTGGTGGGCACACAATGTAATATACAGATCTTGTATCATAGAAATATACACGTAAAACCTATATGATCTTATAAACCAATGTCACCCCAGTAAAGTTAATTTAAAAAATATATAAACAATAGTTAAAAACAGCAACCTAGAAACACTGATACTTTGGATAATGTACATGTATATAAGTTTTAATGAGGTCTGATTAAGATTCCTCTGCACAACTTTGATCTTTATTTAAAAGAAATATACTCTCTAGTGCTATACGTTGAACATTTGCCAAGCTAATCTCATGTATTCTTTTTGATAGGATTACGTTGACAAATTGGGATTGCTATAGATACTGAGTTGTAGAATTTGAGACTTTGAGGGAATCTCAGAGATCATGTTGTTCAATGAAGTATATATTCATTTAAGGAAAGCATTTGACAATGTACTTGATTATAGTTTTGGTGAATAATACTGTTAACTAGTAGATAATGTCAGCTGGATTTGGGGATATCAAAATTTGTTGATAGCTTTGTTCCCACTTGTAAGGAGCCTTTCAATGGCTCTGCATTAACTTTTTCTCCTTCACACATTTATCTTTTATTTAGAAGATATTTGAAAGGGAAGGTATGTGGTATTGAACTCAACCTCACTAGTTCACATGTTGGCAACATGGGTTTGTATCTCAGCTTCATTTTACTCAATGGGCAAGTTACAGAAATTAGCTAATCATAAGTTTCCCTAAAAATTAAGGGAATAACAATAAAGAAACATTTTTTAAAAAGCCCAAACCCATAAGGTTTCCAGGTACTTGATTGTGGTCAAGAAAGGACAAACGGGGCTTCTAGGCTGCCTACAATGTGCTGTTGTTTGACCTGGTGCTGATACTAATCCATTTATCTGTACACGTATATTTTATGTACTTTTCTGCATATGTGTTATATTTGACAATAAAAAAGTCTTACAAAATTGAAAAAAATTAAGGTGATAGTATATACCTTATATGAGTGATTTGAAAATTAAATGAAATGGTCCATATAATACACTTAAATATAATAAGTATTCATAAATATCCATTAATATTATTAATAGCCCTTATTTAATTATTTAACTTAAATTAACAGACTGAGTGTAATGTTATTAATTTGCATCATAAAATGCAAAGGTTGAGAATTTTGTTACTAGAGATGAGTAATTGAACAGGGTCATTCAACCGTTAAACATAATTCTAGTTGATCAGATAGGATAATCCTTACCTGTTCCACCTCTTGGAGGGCAGAACAGAACATGATGACTGGAGTTTGCATGATCCGTGATTAAGGTTACTGCGTGGTCAGGTGTTGCAACACCCCGATTGCTACACCCTGATTGCTCCTATCTGGTTCTTCCTGACCATCTTCCCTTTATACTTGTGCTCTAGTTAGAATCTGTTGGTTGGGTTTTAGCTTAATTGGTAAACTTAGCCACTTTGTTATCATAGTATGGCATCCCACAGCGTTCTTTTCAGTTGGGAATTTTCTGTATTTGCTGTTTGGGTTGGGAGCAGCAGGTTTTAGTTTGTCAGCTTTTCTGATTTAAGTGTCTCATTAATATGAAAGGGTCTGTCTTGAGCTGATTCAATTGGCAGGGAATCTCTGGTCTTTTCCGGAAGTATTTGTCGCCAGTAAACCTTATATCTAAGCTCCAAATTTTCATTATTAATATTTTTTTAAAACTTTCAAAAACTTGAATGAGCAAGAATCATTTTGTGTATCTTCAAATTTTCTATAAAATGATTCTTAATGTTGATCGTACTTGGTGTCACAGTGGTCTTTTGTCAAACTTCTATCTCATTCAGGCAAGAAAGGCTACTTGCTCAGGGGGGACTTGCCTGGTGTTTGGAGCTCCCACCCTGAAAAAAACACAATTCAATATTTAAAACCCATAATTCAATATTATAAAAATATAGTATATTAAATATAGATTGTTTTCAGTATTCTGCACTTGTCTGTCCTTCTTTCATAAAATACCTGTTAAATATCTGTGCAAGTTCTAGAGATTCAACCCTACATTTTAGGAGGAGTATAATGAAGTTTAGAAATGAAAATTCTGTCCTCATATAGGTTTAAGGATCCATTTATTAGAGTAGAAAGAGTTATGTTAAAATGGATAGCTCTTTTCAATATCTTAAAGACTGTGAGATAGAAAAAGAGGCAGTCTCGATTATTTCAAAAGACCAGATCAGAACTATTAGATATTAGTAACAAAGTGGCAGTTTTTAGCTTAAAACTCTGAAGAACCTTGCTACTGCTATGAAAAGTATTCAATAAGGCATTGTACACTTATTCATAAGGTATGAAAGGCCTCTGAGGAGGTGTTTGAAACAAAGATCAAAAGGCATCTGTCTAATCTTCCTACATTGTACAGAAAATTGAACTTTGGGGGGAACCGTCAGTTAGTTCTAAGGGGTCATTGAACCTGGATATAAATATTTTTAGTGAAATCTTAACATTTTTAAAAATTAATACTATAAACAGCAAACTATAGTGTAGCAATGGGCATACCTGTGACTTTGTCCCCACTAGAACTCACAGATATTTTCAAATCACTTTAGAATTGTTGTATATGTCATAAAATGTTGTTTATTGCCATCTACTTGAAAATTATAATTATCAGTCACCATTAGTTCTTATATTAATAAAGAAGCATATATATTATTACATCTTCAATTAAAAAAATGTTTGTGTTTCAATGTAATTGTTTTTCTTTGTAAACCTCTATTTTAAGTATTAAAACATTTTGAGAAGGTTCAGAGGCTTCACTGAGAGAATGGTTCATGGCACCAGAAAAAAAAAAAGAACTTGTGGCTAATTGATACGATGTAGAATGGTATTGATAAATTCTTTCTAGCTTGAGATTTTTTTTTAAAAAATATTTGTTTTGATTTCAGAGATGAAGGGAGAGGGAGAGAAAGATAGAAACATCAATGATGACAGAGAATCATTGATCGGCTGCCTCCTGCACGCTCCACACCGGGGATTGAGCCTGCAACCTGGGCATGTGCCCTGACTGGGAATTGAACCGTGACTTTCTGTTTTGTAGGTGGACGCTCAACCACTGAACCAAGCTGGCTGAGCGTAGCTTGAAATTTTAAAGGCTCTTTCAGTGTATGGGTTCTGCTAAATTCCTAGGTATCACAAACAACCACTCTATTTTTTCTGTGCTCCCAACACCTAAGGGATATAGTAAATTGTCTTATCAGGACCAGCAGTTTAATTCAGGAGCAACTGAATGTGTGTGTGTATGTGTGTGTGTGTGTGTGCATGCGCGTGTATGCACGCACACATGTATGTGCATGGTATATTTATATGTGTGGAGTTGGGAATACAAGAAATGTAGTTTGTCAGTTAATTCAAAATTTTCCTAATGATTCATATTTCTATATCCCCCATTCAAAAACCATTGAAAATGTAAGTATAAGCTGTGTTAAAAATCTTTAATGAATGTGAAAACAGTGCCATTCTTACCTATATTTTTTACATAAGAACATTTTGGGCTGACCTCCAGAATGTGATGAGAAGGAAGAACACTTATTGAGGGAAGCTATTCATTTGGCTTTAATAATGTGCTTATTTTTATTTAGTTCTCTGAAGTGCCTTTTTTTTTCTTTTTTTTTTTAAGAATCCTGATGCAGTGTACCCGAAAGAAACAACTCCCTTGTCTACATTTACTGGTATTCGACCTGCACGAGTTGTATCTTCAACTTCTGAAGAGGAAGAAGCATTTACTGAGAAGTTTCTAAAAATTAATTGCAAATATGTTACCAGAGGCAAGGTAACAAATAGTACCTTAAATCACCAACATCAGCAAATGCTTGAATATTTTTTAAAATATTAGTGGAACTACTAGTTTGAGTTAGTGTGGATTCTGCTCATAACAATCTGGTAATCTGTTGCAAATCATTAAAGGCAATGGCATACATAAACGTACTATAAAAAGCTGGTATAAAATGACTATTTGTGGGCACTCTTGAAGTGCCAATCCTTGCAGAGTTAGTATGATACCCAAATAGGAAGATAATTGCTATTCATTGAGTACCTACTATATGCCAGAAATTGTTTCGGTGTTTTATTTTAATTATTTTATCAACTAAAAATAGGTGGTCCTATTCCTTCTTCACAGGAAAAAAAATATATATCAGAAAAGGTTAATGAATCTAAGGATTCTCTGTCATGGCCAGAATTCAAACTGAGTTTGAATCTCTGTTTATGTACCACACCTTGCTGCTTTACACAGCAAAGAATATCGTGTCTGCAGAAGCAATATGGTAAAGTAACACAGAGTTGGAAAATAAACTCCAGGTATTGCTTAGCAAGTAACTATGATACCACCTTAAAAAATTTTTGACTGCCTAATAATCAAAATTAATAAATTATGAATATTTGAAATACAGGTGTTCAGTTCTATAAATTTCTTCCTACATACTGTTTTAACTGGACCTACATTCTCAATATGTTGTATTTTTATTTTCATTCATTTAATAATATTTTCTCTTTATTTCTTCTTTGACCCGTGGAATATTAGAGTGTTTAATTTGTAAACATTTGGGGATTTAAAAAAATATCTTTTGTTTTTGAGTTCTGATGTTATTCCATGTAGTTAGATAACATACTACTTTTTGAAGACTTAATTTAAGACTTTATGGTCCAGAACGTGGTATGTCTTGCACTTGAAAACAATGTGTATCTGCTCCTATTGGGAAGACTATTCTATGAATGTCAATTAATTCAAGTTAAATGATAGTGTTGTTCTTTTGCATCCCCTTTGATTTTCTGTCTATTCTATCAATTATTGACAAGAGGATGTTGAAATACCTCATGGTAATTGTGTGTTTTCTATCTCTCCTTTCGTTTCTGTTTTTGTTTTGTGTATTTTGAAACTTTGTCATTAGGTATACAAATGTTTAAGATTTTTATATTGTCTTGCTGAATTGACTTGTTTCATTATTCTTGGCAATATTCTTGCCATGAAATCTACTTTGATCAATATTTATAGTCACTTCATATTCCTTTTGATTAATGTTAACGGTTTATCTCTTTTGTTGTTTTACTTTTGACCTATGTCTTTATATTTAAAATGAGTTTCCATGCCTTACTCAGAGGGAAGGTGTGGGAGGGCTTACATTAGAATTCACTCTTTGTATTGTACATTCTATGGGCTTTAACAAAATACATAGTGACATCAATCCACCAGTACAGTATCATCCTATATAACAGTGGTCGGCAAACTGCAGCTCGCGAGCCACATGTGGCTCTTTGGCTCCTTGAGTGTGGCCACGAAGTTTCAGTTGCACTGTATGTGCGCACCCGCATGTGGTATTTTGTGGAAGAGCCACACTCAAGGGGCCACAGTTTGCCAACCACTGCTATATGATAAAAGGCTAATACGCAAATTGACCGACAGTGGAATGACCGGTCGCTATGATGCTCACTGACAACCATGGGGCAGACGCTCAACGTAGGAGTTGCCCCCGGTGGTCAGTGAGCTCCCACAGGGGGAGCACCACTCAGCCAGAAGCCAGGCTCACAGCTGGAGAGTGCAGTAGCAGTGGTGGGAGCCTTCCCACTGCTGCGACATCCCCCAAGGGGTCCCAGACTGCGAGAGGGTGCAGGCTGGGCTGAGGGACTCCTCCCCCCCCCCACCCCCAGTGCACGAATGTCATGCACCAGGCCTCTAGTAGAGAATAGTTTCATTGCCCTAAAGATTCTCTTTGCTCTGCCTATTCATTCTTCCCTGGAAACTGCTGATCGTTTTACTGTCTTCATAGTTTTGCCCTTTTCAGAGTGTCATATAGTTAGAATCATACAGTATAATTTGATTTCAAGTTGTCTTCTTTCACTTAGCAATATGCATTTAAGAGTCCTGCCTTTCTTTTGTGATTAGATAGCTTTTTTTAAAAAAAAAAATTGCTGAATAATAATTCACTGTGTGGATATTCTGCATTCACTGACTGAAGGACATCTTGTTTGTTTCCAAATTTCGGTACTTGTGAAACAGGTGCTAGAAACATTCACATGCATGTTCTTTGTGTAGACATAAGCTTTTACCTCATTCGGATAAGTAAGCAGTGCTATTGTTAGATCTAGATCATATGTTAAGATTATTTTTAGCTTTGTAAGAAACTCCCAAAATGTCATCCAAAGTGATTGTATCATTTTATATTTGTACTAACAATCAATAAGAGCTGCTGTTGCTCCACATCTTCACTAGCATTCATTGTTGTCAGTGTTTTAGAATTGTTAGCCATGCTAATTGGTCTTTAGTGGTAACTCATGGTTTTAACTTGCATTTTCCTAATGACTTATGATATTGAGCATATTTTCATAAGCATATTTGCTATCCTATATCTGGCAATTTCTTTGTATTTGAAAGATCTTTTCATTGGGCAAAGAATTTTAGGTTGACAGGTTTTTATTTTTTTTCAGAATTTTGAAGATGTTTCTTTCCGAACTCCACTGTTTTCTGGCCTGCATTGTTTATGAGAGAAAGAAGTCTTCTGTTATTTTTATATTTGGTGTTCTGTACAAAATACAGTTTTTTCTTTTGGTTGTATTCAACATGGCCTGTTTATCACTTTTTGAGCAATTTTTTACAGTGTACCTTGGTGTATTTTTCTTTTTCTTTCTTGCTTGAGGATCATTTAGCTTCTTGGATCTGTGGGTTTATAGTTTTCATCAAATTTGTAAACTTTTTGGCCATATTTCTTCAAATATTTTTTTCTCTACGTTCTCTTCTTTGGGAACTTCAATTATGCATGTTTGGCCTGCTTGATGTTGTGTCTCATAGCTCACTAGTACTCTGTTCTCCTTTGTTTTGGATAATTTCAATTGCTATATCTTTATGTTCACTAATATTTTTCTCCCTTGTCTAATCTGCTGTTCTATCTAGTGTATTTTTTATCTCCATTAAGTTCAAACTGGTTCTCATATCTTCATGGTTCCTACTTCACTTGTACAATCTTTCTTCTATATTCTTGAATATATGGAATATGTATTAAGGTATTTTTACATTATATATTCTCTATTCTTAATTATCTATTTCTTAGATTATCTCTGGATAACATGTAAATGTTCCTATAGTATACTTTACCATCTCTCATTGGCTTGAGTTAGTATAATCCAGGAATACAAATTGATGTGTGTGAATCTATTTAAAATATTAATCAAAAGATGAGTAGGCTGTGGTTTATATGAAATTACTTATTTAGGTGGCCCATGGTTCTGTCTAAACTAAAAGAAATGCTATTCATACTTTTGGACTGATTCCCTTTCCCCCACCAAAATGGTAGTTTTATGTTCTTCAAATTAAGCCAGGTAAATTCACAGAGCTGAGTATGGGATTGGAAGGAGAGTGTGATACCAAAGTAAGCAGGATTAAAGTGTTGTTGTTTTAATCTTTATTGTTGAGAGTATTATAGATGTCCTTCCTTCCCCCCTCTCAGAAGGCTCCCCTTCACCCAGATGCCACTCCACCCCAGCCCTTCACCACTCTATTGTCTTTGTCCAGGGATAATGGGTAATGCATATATGCAAATAAGTTCTTTGGTTAATCTCTTCCTGTCCCCCTATGCCCCTGTGCTATGAGATTCATCAGTCTGTTCCCTGTTTTCATGCCTCTGGTTCTATTTTATTCATCAGTTTATTTTGTCCATTAGATTCTTTGTTCATTTATTTTGACTTTTAGAGTCAATTGTTGGTAGGTTTGTATTTATTTCCATTTATTGTTCATACTTTTTATTTTATTTTTTTTTCTTTTTCTTCTGCTTAGGGAAGACCCTTCAACATTTCATGTAATACTGGTTTGGTGGTGATGAACTCCTTTAGCTTTTCTTTGTCTGGGAAGCACTTTATCTGTCCTTCAATTCTAAATGATAGCTTTGTTGGGTAGAGTAATCTTGGTCATAGGTCCTTGCTTTTCTTCTCTGAATATTTCTTGCCTCTCCCTTCTGGTCTAAAAAGTTTCTGTTGAGAAATCAGCTGATGGTTGTATGAGTACTCCCTTGTAGGTAACTAACTGCTTTTCTCTTGCTGCTTTTAAGATTCTGTCTTTGATTTTAACCTTTTTCATTTTAATTTATGATGTGTTTTGATGTAGGCCTCTTTGGATTCATCTTGTTTGAGACTCTCTGTGCTTCCTGGACTTGTAAGTCTATTTCTTTCACCAGGTAGGGGAAATTTTCTGTCATTTTTTTTTTTTTTCAAATAGGTTTTTAAATTCTTGCTCCCTTTCTTCTTCTTCTGGCACACCCATGATGCAAATATTGGTACACTTGAAGTTGTCCCAGAGGCTCCTTACATTATCTTCATATTTTTGGATTTTTATTTTTTCTGTTCTGATTAGTTATTCTTTGCTTCCTCATATTTCAAGTCACTGATTTGATTCTTGGCATAATCTACTCTACTGTTAATCCCCTGTAAATTACTCTTCGTTTCAGTTAGTGTATCCTTCATTCCGACTGGCTGTTTTTTATGTCATTGATGTTTTCACTAAGTTCCTGGATCATCCTTATAACTATTGTTTTGAACAGAGTGTGGAAGACTGAAATTATTTGGTCTGGCATTATGGGTGAGTTAATTAAATGTTTGACCAAAAATAGCAAGATAATTGTTGATAATTTTGTATGGCCCACAAATGATGTTATAAATATCTCAATGGCCTTGGTAGAAAAAGGTTCCTCACCCCTGGTTTTGAACTCTGTATGTGGTTGTTTTGTTTGTTTCTATTTTATTAACTTCTTTTTCTGGAGGTTTCTTCTGTCCTTTCATTTGTGACATGTTTCTTTGTCTCCTCATTTTGGCCGCTTCCCTGTGTTTGTTTCTCTGTATTAGGTAGAGATGCTATGTCTCCTGGAATTGGTAAAGTGGCCTTGTGTAGTAGGTGTCCTGTAGGGCCCAGTGGCTCAGCCTCCCTAGTCATCTGAGCTGGACACTCGAAGTGTGCCCCTGTGTGGGCTGTGTGCACTGTCCTGTTTTAGTTGAGCCTCGATGGCTGTTGGCAATACTGGGAGGGATTGACCCCTAGGCCAGTTGTCTGTGAGGACCAGTTATGACCACAGCAGAAGAGCTGCTGTGCAGGAGATGCTCCTATGGAGCAAGACTTGCTTCAGTTGGGCTTTGACGCTCACTGAGCCCACCCCTTAAGAGTGTTGCTCATGGATGTGGTAGAAGTGTAATCTGGCATGGTCTGAAACTGACCATTGGTGCACTGGCTCCTGGGAGGTGCAAAGTCAGCTACTGCCTCTGCCCTACCTGGGGCCACCCAGCAAAAGCTACAGAGAGATCTTCAGATGACTGCTACTTATGTGGGGCTTGCAGGTGTCCAAGAGAGGTCAAGTTGGGAACCTTGGCAGGCTGTTGCTAGTGCCAGGCCTGGGGCCACTTATTTAGAAGTATGTGGCACACTGAGGCCAGCTGCTGCTTGTTTGAGAAATTTTAGGAAAATCTGAAGCCTGAGCAAGGACAGGCCATTCATATGGAAAAGCCACTGCAAACAGCTTGGGAGGGGCTACAAAATGGGTGGGGCAGGGTCTCATGGAATCACCAGGGGATGGTGAACAGTGTGGCCCAGGTCAATGGAGACACAGATGTGGCTCCTGCCTGTAGGCTCTGTGGTGGGGGAGGTCTCAGCCAAGGAACAATGACCTCAGCCAACACTTTTGTCTGGGAGAAAGCTGCCTCCCAGTTCTTGCCCTGATATCAGATAATTTAGTTCTTCCCCATATGTCCCTGGATACTTTCAAGCTGCTGCCCTAGTGCTGGAGCTTGGAGGAAGTGAGTCTGTGCTTGGGCCCTTTAATAGCAACTGCCTGGGACTCCTGCAGTGTCTGTGTCACTCAGCAACTATCCCTGCTGGTTTTTACAGCCCTAAGTTATGGGGACTACTCTTCCTGGCACTGGAACCCTGGGCTGGGGACTCTAGTGTGGGACTGGGACCCCCTTGCTCCTTGCAGTGACCTCTGCAGCCAAAATATCCCTCCCAATTAAAAACAGACCACTGTGGGTATCAGGCTAACTGGTTCCTCGCCTCTGCCCTTCCTACCAGTCTCAGTGTGGCTTCTTTTTTAATTCTCTAGTTGTAGGGCTTCCATTCAGCTGGATTTCAGGCAATTCTGAATGATGGTTCTTCTGTGATTTAGTTGTAATTTTGGTGTGGTTGTGGGAAGAGGCAAATACCACATTTACCCTATTCTGCCATCTTGATCCTCCTCAGGATTTAAGTTTTTCTTTTCCTTAATAGCTTTAGAAAAAACAAAAAACAACTTTGAAGTAACTTTTTTATTTTTATAATTCTGTCTAGCTCTTCATTTTTATACTTACAGAATATAGTGGAATGGGAATTTTAAAAATGGGATCAAAGTATTTAGCACTTGAATTAGAGTGATTATATAGTTTGCTACATAAATGTGGAAGGATTATAGTATAAGCACAGACTGCCCGGATTTTGAAACTTGGTTCTACCGTTTATTAGGTAGCTGTAGTCATGTTTTATTTAGGACTCTCCCACCCGTAGTTTCCTCATCTATACTCATCTCAGAGCTCAGTGTGATGATCAAATGAACAATAATGTATATAAAGCATGATACATATAAAGCATACAGTACATTAGCTAATATTAGTGGGATCAGCTTCTTATGGACTTTAGTTTGCTCCTTGTAAATAAGAGGGTTGGACTCTTCATATTAGCATCACTATTTACATGAATATATTTTAAAATTCATAGCTTTCATGATTAAATTTAAAATGATTACTGGTTACCTTGGAGGTCATCTAAATTACCTAATTTTAGAGATTAAAAAACTGAGGCCCAGAGGCTTTGCTTGCCCAAGGTCACATGCCTAGCAGCAGAGTCAAGTGAAATCGATTTTTAAAAAAATATATTTTAAAAGAGATTATGCTGTTTTTTCTTTATAATGGATTGAATTGTCAACAGTATTTATGAAACCTGCATTGTGTACATAAAACTATGTTTGGTACCTCTAGTGAGGGAACAACACAAGAAGCAGTACACAAATTAATGTAAAGCATGGCTCATGCCTTACAGGAGTTTACAATCCCTTCTTCCATTACTGCAGTTATCTTACTGATAGAGCTCAGTATTTTACTGAGGCGGCAAATGTTATACCTGACTTGCTTGTTTGAGGATGAATATAATATTCTTTGTAGTTTGCCTCTGCTAAAGAGGAGCACTTACTGGGAAAATTTGTGTTTTATTAACATTTCCATGAGAATGCCTTAGTGCTTGAATGTACTGCTTTTCCGTATAATAGATGGCCTAATATCAGGAGAAAATTAGTAAAAATAGCTAGCATACTTTTTGAAAATTTAAACTTTGAAGATTAAACATTATTTTCTCTTTATCTTAGGGCACAGTCAGTGGTGTGCTGCTAGTTACACCAAATAATATAATGTTTGATCCACATAAATCTGACCCCTTGGTTCAAGAGAATGGCTGTGAGGAATATGGGATCATGTGTCCAATGGAAGAGGTGATGTCAGCTGCAATGTACAAAGAAATTTTGGATAGCAAAATAAAGGAATCCTTACCCATGTAAGAGTGTTTTTTTATACTCCTTTGCAATTTTATTGCATTTAGATAATTGATTGACCCTTGTCTAATACTCTTAAGTATTTTTATTAGTTTTATTTTAGCTGCTTTTCATTTTCTTAATAATTAAAAAACATATGTAATGTTGGAAGGTTTCTTCTCAGTGTACTTAGAATAGCTAAGAGTGTTTTAGGTTTATATTTTTATATTTGGTCGGAGAACCGGATACTTAAAAATAACCTATAGTACTCATTTAATACAGTGTATACCAGCTTTTTAAAAATATATATTTTATTGATTTTTTAACAGAGAGGAAGGGACCCTTCAGTCCGCAGGCTGACGCTATATCCAGTGATCCAAACCGGTTAGGGCTACCAGCTATTATTTTTATTCAGACATACCATTCAGAATTTTGAATTATCTATATGAGTAGTTTAACGTAATAAGTAATGAAGGGTAGCTTTCCAATTTTTCTGTCAGTAAAATCGGGGATGGGATTTGGGGAGGCCACAAAAGACCTGACATTGCTACAACCAGAGCAGCTTGTTTTTTTAGTTATTTATTTACATGTTTATATCCGTTCTCAGAAAAGTGTAAAATATAGGGAGAAGATCCATAATTGCACAATTAAAAGAGTTAACCATGGAATGTGTGGTTATCTGATTGTGATTCGGGTAACATAGGTGTGAGACTACAGGTCAGCATAATCTTTGTACATAATGTGCTTGATCAAAGGAATGACTAGAGAAAAGGGAGGAATAAGAAATAAAAAGAAGGTAAAAGGTAGGTATATAAAAGAAAGAAAGAAGTAGAAAGGGAAAAAAAATTGATATGTAGTAGAAAAGAACTCCCCCATTTCTCCATACTGATTGTCAACAGTTTAAAATCTGGCCTCACTTTGATACTGAGATATATATCCCAGTATTAGCCCACAGGAATGAAGAATGGTGTTTTAATATTAACCTGTGGGAAAGAACTACTTACAGAGGAGAAGAACAAGTTATTTCTGTTTCTGAGGCAGCCTGCATGAGTTTGTTGATACCTGTGGAGAATAAAGTTTCTTATTAAAAAAATTGATTACACTTTCCACTCAATAGATATTTTGTCATGATAAACTCCTCTTTATAGATGCAGATAATTCCTAGGATATTCTCTAGTGTCAGTTATTCTTATAGATCGTTCAAAGTCAGGTTCAGCAAATAACCATTGGAGTAGGTGGAGGGGTAAGGCAAAAGTGAAGGAGTGAAGGATTAGATTTAAAAAGAAACAAGATTATATATGTGTGTATATATTGTCAGTCACTGCTAAGATTAACTTCCTGCTGTCCTGCTTTTCTGTTTGTATTATGATATTTTGGGATTCTCTTACGCTGAATGATTCATAACTATCCTATAAGGATACCTTAGGGCTCCTCTTGCATATCACTGTTTTATCATTCATAATGTCACGTGGAAAAACCATGCATTTGATCTAAACATTTTTTTTATTTCTTCAAAAAGAAATATCATTTAATTCTCCCTTATTAATTGATTAAAAACTATTTGTAACAAATCATATAAATGAAGTGGTTTTTTCATAGTAGTGTCATGGCAAAAATGAGATAAGATTTTATTGATTTTCTTTTGTCTTAAATTGCTTGGGAAGTTGATTTTAAAGGTATTGTTTTGCAACTATATTGAGCAGTAAAAGCACATTGGCATTAATAAATATTTAGTATTTGGCATTTTAACTCTGAAGATTACAGCACTTATATAAATATATATCTTGTTTGGTTTGTTTATTACCTTTTATTAAACGTACAGGTACAGTTTCCCAAAACTTTGCCAGCTTCCAAGACCCTATATACAGTGTGGGGCAAAAGTAGGTTTATAGTTGTTCATATGGGAAATAATACAATAATTATACAAAAATTAACTTGTTTCGAGTACTCAAAACTACAAACCTACTTTTGCCCCTCCCTGTGAGCAATTTGAATGAATCACCAGTAGATGACACTGTTATGTATTTTATAGCACAAGTTAAATGCTTGTGTTTTTTAAGGTGAATTAAATACAAGAGGCAGAGCTATGAACTGAACTTCAACTAATTAATACTTTTAATAAAAATAAAATTTTTCTATTCTTGTTATAAAAGTCATGCATACTCATTTTAGAAAATTTGAAAAATACCAAAAAGTAGAATAAGAGGAAAGGAGTTAACTCAGCTACATCATCCAGAGATAGCCAATTATTTTTGTGTTGAATTATTTTTCAGTCTTTTTTATTTTCAAGCTTTCATAAATGTTAATAGTTTTTCCACTAAGAACTCATGCGGTTTCCATTTCTCGAAAACTATTTTTAACTGTCATTTTTAATTGCTGACTTATATTTCATGCTTTAAATGTTTGCACTACCTCTTTCCAGAACGTAGACTATCTAACTTTTGAACATTACTGCTTACGTATAAATGCCATTAAACATGAAAATCTAGATGTAATTATAAACCATTTAGCTATCTAATATCTAACCCCTTTAGTTAAACAAGTTCCCTTAGAATTGTTATTGAGTTGTTGCTGGTAGCCTGAGAATTCCAGTGAGTACTTTAGCTTCAGTTCTACTCAGGTTGGCTTTGAGCTTTGCTTTTGAGCTCTATATTTTAGTTTAATCTCTACTTAAATGTAAAATAAGCACTGCATGTGTGCACGTGTGTGCAATATCAATCAGTGTATTACTTTGTTAAGACATTTAAATTTTAATCAAAATTTTACCTAAGCTTATTTTTCATATTCTATCAATGAATAAATTTTAATTTAGAATTATAGCTTCACCCAAAACTTGTATTGTCTATCATCTTCTCTTCAGGTAGATTAATTCAGGAAATGTTGCATTGATGTTTTCCATATCTTAAGCAATTGATGCAAAAGCTTTACTGTCACTTTGGTCTATATCAGTGGTTCTCAACCTTCCTAATGCACGACCCTTTAATACAGTTCCTCATGTTGTGTTGACCCCCAATTTCATTGTTACAAATTGAACATAATTAAAGCATAGTGATTAATCACAAAAACAATATGTAATTATATATATGTTTTCTGATGGTAGTAGGCGACCCCTGTGAAAGGGTCGTTTGACTGCCAAAGGGGTCACGACCCACAGGTTGAGAACCGCTGGTCTATATGAATAAATCAAAATTTTTGATATGCTATTAAGAGATGTATACTACATGCTTTTTAAAAGCCTTTTTTTGGAATATTAATTTAGTGGTAAGTTTGTGGACAATGAAAGACTACAATTTAAAAAGTCTAATAACTTATAATTTTGTTTACTGACAGAGAGATAGATCAGTTATCAGGAAGGGACTTCTGCCACTTAAAGAAAATGTCAAGAAGTGATGCTGATGAAATAGACTCAAGAATCCGTGATGTGGTCAATGATAGTGCCAGCACTGCTCCCAGGTGCACCGAGGAGTCCCTTTTTGAAGACGTGTTCACAGAATCAGAACTCTCTCTGGTACGGGAAGAGCTTGTCTCTTCAGAAGAGCTGCGACAAGGTAAATCATCTGGTGCATCATCAGAGTCTGTGCAGACTGTCAATCAGAGTGGAATAGAATGTTCTACAAGCATATCAGAATCTACTACTACTCTTGATCAGTTAAAATCTGATTCTGGACATTCTCCAAATGAAGTTGGGGCTCTTTCCCTTAAAACTGATTTAAATCTCAAAATGGCCACTAAAGAAGGAGATCAGGCAACAGATAATGTTCAAGAAATATTAGACCCTAAAGAAGGAAGCATAAATATTAAAGGTAATGCAGACCAGGATTTTCTTAATGAGAATTCACTGCACCAAGAAGAGGATGAAAAAGAAAGTATACCTTGTGGGGAAGCAACAGAATTCAAACTAAAGCAAACTGTCAAAGGAAAACAAGGGAAGGAACAAAAACAGGACTCAGAGACAGAGGTAGAAGAGCTCCGGAAACTCTGGAAAACGCATACTATGCAAGAAACTAAACAGCAAAGGGACAATATTCAACAGGTGTCACAAAAGGAAATTAAGCATAAAATAGCAACTGTTGATACAGAAGGTAAGTGTTAAAAGAATATATAAAGCTCATATTATTTGCATATTGTTTCCCTCTTTCCTTGGTGACTCAAAAGCTGCTATTTCTTAGGCTACTCTAAAGAATAATCTATTGGGCCCTTGGCTGATGTTTCTCTGGGGATAAGTATAATATTCTTTGGTTTCTAATCTCTTTGACTTTTCTTACCCCACAGTGGCTTATACATAAAATGAGCACCTTTTCTACCATGTTTAAACATTCCCAACTCACCATGTTCTATTTTTAAACACTGTATTTCTTGAAAATGTACACAAGCTCTGTAACACCTTTGATATCTCAACTTTTTTTCTTTTAGTTCTTGGTGTGTTATCTCATTAAAATAATTTTTTTTCATTGCACATATAATAGCCTAATTGCAATTTGTAATTGACAAAGTTGTAATCCCATCTTTTTAAAAAACTATGATTAGACAAAAATCTAATTTTTTAAATTTCTCAAGTATCCAGAAGTTCTATCATTGTCTAAGTAAATGTTTTCTTTTACAAAGCAGCACTAAAGGTAAATTAAAACACCATTTTCAGTTTTGTTTTAGGGAACTGTTTACTTATGAAAATTACAGAAATAGTCATTTCTGATATACAGTGCTTCTGCTTAATAGGTTAATGGAGTGCAGCTCAGGTATCTTAGGTAACATTTCTTATAGTCTATTGGAATATTGATTCCAGGCCAATCAAATTTATATATAAGCTTTTCTGTCATTTTTTTATTGTTTAATGTGCATAAACTGAAATTTATCATTTTAACCATTTCTAAGTGTAAAATTCAATGGCAGTAAGTACATTCACATTATTGTAGAACTATCACCACCATCCATTTCCAAAGCTTTTTCATTTTCCCAAACTGAAATTGTACCCATTAAACAAAAACTCTTATATTCCATTCTTTCCAACCCCTGACAACCACCAATCTACTTTTTGTCTCTACTCTAGGTACCTGATACAAGTGGAATCATATATTTGTTCTTTTGTGTGTGGTTAATTTCCCTTACATAATGCCTTCAAGTTTCATCTGTGTTATAGTATGTGTCAGAATTTCCTTCCTTTTAAAATTATATAATATTCCATTAATACATAACATGTTTTCTTTATCTGTTCATTCATTAATGAACATTTGGGTTGTTTTAGCCTTTTGGCTTTTGTGAATAGTGCTGCTGGTAAACATTGGAATACAAATATCTGTTTGAGTTCCTCCTTTCAATTTTTGGGGGGTATATACCCAAAAGTGGACTTGCTGGATTCTATGGTAATTCTATGTTTAATTTTTGAGGAACTGCCAAACTGTTTTCCACAGTAGCTGTTCCATTTTACATTTCCACAAGCAATGCACAACAGTTCAGTTTAGTTTTTAAAATACTGAATTTTCCTTCTGTTTTCTTATATACCCTGAAGACCTAAGGATTATATTAAGTAGATGTTAAGAAACCCATTTACTCAAAGTAAATTCTATGGAAGAGTGACTGTGTCTTCTTTTGTAATATTTTTCTTTTATTCAGAACTAGTGAATGTTCATTAAATGTGATTTAACAAAAATATATAGGGAGTTTTTACCAAACTTATAAAAATTACCTAGAATTAATCACCTTAATCATTATTAACATTTGGTATATTTAGTTTTGATCTTTGGTGTGTATGTATATATTCATACATATATATACAACTTTGATATTATATGTATGTATCTATACATGTGTATTTTTTATATAAAATTAGGATTATACTGTATGTAGTGTTGTATTTTCCTTTTTTCACTCACCATTTTATGTCATGAATGTTTTCCCATGTCATTATAGTTCTTTGAAAACATGGTTTTTAATGACCTTCTAATTTAACCATTTCCATATTGTTAAGACATTCCATTGTTATTAGCAATTCATATTGTTAAGATTTTTTTTTATCTTTGATCAGGCTGTTAAAAATGCTGGTATGAATATCTTTATTGATATATTTGTGTCTGATTGTTGCCTTATATTAGGATCTTTGAAAAGGGTAAAATAATGGATTCTGTTTAAACTAATATGTGATAGACTACTTTCATTATAGTGGGTTTGTTGGGGTGCAGGGTTTTATAGGGAGAGCCCCTATTATGACAAAATACTGAAAGGAGAAAATTTGGTAGGTATATTCAGATAGGTATCCTGATTGTTACCATTTGGTTTCTTCCCTTTTGGGGAGGGGGATGGTGGTAACAAATTAAGTAATTAATTTTAAGTAACTTAAGTTTCTATAATAGGGAAATATTCAAAGTTTCTGACCTTTTAATGACTTCTATTATATAAAAGCCTAAGCGACCGGCCGACTGGTTGGTAGCTATGATGCGCAATGACCACCAGGGGGCAGACGCTCAGTGCACAGGCATGGAAACATGGAACAAGACTGATGAATCTCAGAGGGGGCAGGGGAGGGCGGGAAGAAATTAACCAAAGATCTTATATGCATACTAGAGGCCCGGTGCACGGATGCGTGCACTGGTGGGGTCCCTCGGCCTGGCCAGCGGGGATCAGACTGAAACTAGCTCTCCGACATCCCCCGAGGGGTCCCGGATTGCTAGAGGGTGCAGACCAGGCCAGAGGACCCCACCAGTGCATGAATCTGTGCACCGGGCCTCTAATAATATAATAAAACTTTAATAGATATAAAACTGGATTGTAACTGTGCAAAAAATGGTAAAAGTTCATTTTTAATGATATTTGTGAATGCTTGGCCTCAGATTTTGTGCCTTCCACAATGTAACACAGAAAAAAGCCATGACTAGTGCCCAGATTTCCTGAGTATAAGCAAGTATTTCCTCCATACTATGATGCTTTTCTAAGCTAATAATGCCCAGATTCCTAAGTTCAACCTCATTGTCAGACCCCTAATGTACCTTATGTCAGAATCTGTAGGAGGGAGAGTTAATGACAATTCAGGGTTAATAAACTGTCCAAACCGATGGCTGAATCTAGCATATTGTTGGTTGTTTTTATCACACCTTAATAGGTATGTAAAAGCTTTAGAAACTTTTAAATTAAATTTTTATCTTTAACAACCATACAAACTTATCTAGTTGTTTTTCTAGAAGGCTGATAGGGAATGTACAAAATACTGTATTTGTATATTCAATTACTTTAGTATAGTTGTTACAAACAAAAATTTAATAAAAGTTCCTGAAGTTGTCACATTTTTTTCCTGATACCCTTAGACATAATTTCAGCTTATAATGTGGCTGTTGGTTCATTAGTGTTGTTGTACCTGTACTTTTGATGGAAAATAATACAAATTAAGAGAATTAACTTAAATAAGTGTCGATGAATTCAAGTATTATTCTCTAATTGTCAGAAGTTTGGAGAGACACATTATTTAATCTAAATTATTTAAGCATGGTGTGTAAGAATTGAATAAAACTGTTTGTGTCTCAGCTTTAGGTTCTTCATTTTTAAAAGAAAAGAGAAGGCATCAGTTACATAAGTTCTTACGTCTCAGAGTTGGAAAACCAATGAGGAAAACATTTGTATCCCAAGCGAGTGCAACAATGCAACAGTATGCACAGAGAGATAAGAAACATGAATATTGGTTTGCTGTGCCACAAGAAAGGTAAAAAGACAAACAACCACCAAAACTTAAAACATTATTGAGATCCTTTGAATTAAAATGATTTTGAATATCACTTAACACCAGTGACAAAGTACTTTTGAAACATATAGTTTATGATTAAAACTTCACATTAAGGCTATTCAAAATAATTTAGCTCCTATTTTGTACTCTTTAATATCCTCCATTTTAAATGTGTTTTTTTTGTGTGTGGTTTAATGCAAAAAATATGAACGTATAGCTAGTTTTAAAGTAAGAAAATTTACTTCAAATGTCTTAGAGCAAGAAGGTTCATCAAAATATTAACTGGTATGGCTCCTACCTCATTGCAGGTAATGATGTATAATCCCTTTTTAAAAACCTCCTCAAATACTACTGAATGCCTTTAGTTTCTAAAGGGGTGTGATCTTCAAACTATTTTTTGTATTCCCTATCCAATAAAATTTTTTCTCGTAAGTTTACCAATTGTAAAGGATATCTGTCATCACTGTATTATAAATATTGACATTTTATTTTTTTTAGAGAGATATTTTTATTGATTTCAGAGAGAGAAAGTGGGAGGGAGGGGGGGAGAGAGAGAGAGAGAGAGAGAGAGAGAGAGAGAGAGAGAGAGAGAGAGAGAGAGAGAGAGAAACAACAATGATGAGAAAGAATCATCAATCAGCTGCCTCCTGCACACCCTGGACTAGGGATCGGCCCAGGCATGTGCTCTAACCAGGAATTGAACCGGGATCTCCTAATTCATGGGTCAGCACTCAAAACACTGAGCCAGATTGCCCGCCAATATCAACATTTAAAAATAAAACTGTTACACTGATTTTTAAAATAAATCTAGTAGAATCTAAACACCATAACAATTTCCCCTCTACCATTATCCATTTAAAAACTACTTGAACGTGCTCTTCTTTAACAGAATTTTCATCATTACTTCTTCTCTTTGAACTTGTATTTCCATTACACCTCCTCATAGAATTTTATAAGGTACATTATAGAATCTTATAAGGTACATTATATTTTTATTCCTGAGTATATTTCTTTGCAACAAATTACATTCCCTCACACATTTGGGTGTGTGTGTGTGTGTCCCTTCTGATATCAGATTTATTTTAAAATTTTCTATGACTGTTGTCAAAATAGTAAAGAGTCTAAGGTTTACACTACATGCAAGCTAACAAGTTGTTATGCCATAGTTTAATGCATGCTAGGAGACAACACGAGTCCAATAATAGCAATAGATAGTACCAACATTTGCATGAGTTATTTGAGCTTCAGTTCCCACAGTGTGATGCGAAGAAGGCCAGGTGGCAGATGCATTTGCCATGGGTTATATTACAGAAGAGGAACCATAAGTTTAGGGAGCCTAAGTATTTTAAAATGTACATTAAGCGTGGTTACTACCCTTTGCTCCACAGTAAGATTCTATTTCTATCTTCTAAACTATGCCATGCTATGTTTCCTGTGCAAACATATTTGAAAAGGTAGGGCTGAACAAGGGTACTCAGTAATTATTACACATAAAAAGTAAAATATACTAAATAAACTTAATAAAATAGATGGGCCTTTCTCCCAGTTAATTTATGTATCCATTGATGAATGTAGCTTATTGAAAGGATGAGAGAGGATTCAGTCCCTCAGTTCTACCTACTCCCCTTCATTTTTTTCTTTTAGGTACTGAAAAGCTTTGTTCACAAAAATAGTCTGTGAGTTTGCAGAGTTTTTTATTATAATAATGTTACTCAATTTTTTAAACATGTTTCTATTTATATTCCAAAAATTAATCATCTTTTATCAAAATTATGTTTAGTGATAATCAATGAGCAACTTTATTGAAAACTTCTGTTTTATAGAAATCAGTAAATTAGAAACCACCTGATATGCAAAAGGATGTATAATGCAGTCTTAAAATCTTTTCCTGTCTTAATACTAACTGTGGGAGGTCTGGAAGTTTTTAAGGGCATGTACCATTATAAAGTTCTGGATAGGTGACGATATGCTTTTTTTTTTTTAATAAAGTAGAAAAAAGTGCTTTAGGGAAAGCAAAGGACAGGGACTATGTAAGATATCATTACCACACTTCTTAAGCAGATTAGTATGAGTAACATAAAGAAGAAGAAGATAAATTCATTCCCTTAAAATTATCTTAAGTGTTTATGTACCTCCTGGAAAATCTTTATATGTTGCTCTGAAATCTACTGCTTTTAATGATAAAATTCTTCTCCCTCCCCTCCCATCCAAGTATACAATAAATACAATGTGTGCATTCAATAAAATGTGATCAGAGTAATTTTAAAATATGGCATAATTTGCATAATTCACAAATACCTCATAGGCACAGAGCCAGGCATTCTGATTTGCCAGACATATTAAGATAACTACAGTGAAAATTTTAACTACAAACATACCTTGGAGATATTTCCGGTTTAGTTCCAGACCATTGCAATAATGTGAATACCACAATAAAGAGGATATAACAGTAGAACGTGTCACACAAATTTCTTGGTTTACCAGGGCATGTAAAAGTTATGTCATACTACTGTAGTCTGTTAAGCATGCAGTAGTGTTAGGTATTTTAAAAATGTACATGCCTTAATTTAAAAATTCTTTACTGCTAAAAAATAATAACTATCAGAGCCTTCAGCGAGTCTTAATCTTTTTTGCTGGTGGAGTGCCTTGCCTTGATGTTGATGGCTGGTGGTTCCTGAAAGTTGGGGTGACTGGCAACTACTTAAAATAAGACAACAACGAAGTTTGCCACATTAGTGGAGTCTTCGTTTCACAAACAATTTCTCTGTAGTGTATGATGCTGTTTGATAGCATTTAACCCACAGTAGTCCTTCTTTCAAAGCGGGACCCCATCCTCTTAAAGCCTGTCACTGCTTTGTCAACTAAGTTTATGGGACAGTCTAAATCTGTTGTTGTAATTCCACCAGTCTTCACAGCCTCTTCACCAGCAGTAGATTCCAGGTCATTCATACAAAGCAGCTCCTCATCCATTAGAGTTTTACCATGAGAGTGTTGCAGTGTAGTCATATCTTCAGGCTCTGCTTCTGGTTCTAGTTCTCTTGCTCTTTCAACCACATCTGCAGATACTTCCCCCCGACAACTCAGTCTCTCCCTGTATGACGCCAGCATGCTCTGAACTGCTATCCCTCCACTGGAGCCCAGATTAAGAACAAGATTTTTTGTGCATTGTCCCTTTCAGAGGATGCCTGCGTTTCCAGCGGCCGTCCTTCTCACCCAAGCAGGCAGAGTCCTTGCAGATTCACAGCCAGGTGTTATGTGGGCTCCTTTCCCAGCCCTGGGGAGCCCGCCGTGAGGTTAAGACCCCTCACTCATCAGAAGGTACCTTTGCAGCTGAGATATCCCTCTATTATCAACTGCCCTTTTCATTTCTCTGCCCCTCCTACCAGTCTCCAGGTAGATGCTGCTGCTTTATGTCCTAGTTATAAGACTTCTGTTCAGCTGGTCTTCAGATGGTTTTCCAGGTTGATTGTTCAGTAACTTAGGTTGTGGTTTTGATACGGTCAAAGTGAGTGAGTGCTACTTACTCTGCCACTTGGATCAGGTCTCACCTTGCGCTTTTATGTTATGGAGACAGCGTCTTTCCTTAAACCTCATGAACCAACCTCTGCTAGCTTCAGATTTTCTTTTGCAGCTCCCTTACCTCTCTCAGCCTTCATTGAAATGAAGACAGTTAAGGGCCTTCCTCTGGATTAGACGAGAACATTAAAGTTTTCTCCATATCATTAATGAGGGTGTTTCACTTTCTTATTACCTATTCTTTCAGTAGCACTTCTAAATTCCTTCAAGAACTTTTCCTTTGTATTCCCAGTTTGGCTAAGTCTTTGGCACAAGAGACTCGCTTTTGACATGCTTTTCTCTCCAAGCTTCATCATTCTCAGCTTTTGATTTAATGTGAAAGACATGCAACTCTTCCTTTCACTTGCACACTAGAGGCCATTGTAGGGTTATTAATTGGCCTAATTTCAATATTGTTGTGTCTCAGGGAATAGAGAGGCCCAAAGAGAGAGAGAGATGAGGAAATGGCTGGTCTGTGAATAGTCATAATGCACACATTACTTTAATGTTTAATGCAATTAATGTATGTAACTGTGCCATGGGTGTGGTTCGTGGCACCCCCAAATAATTACAGTAGTAACATCAAAGATGACTGATCACAAATCACCATAACAAATATAATGATAATGAAAAAACTTGAAATATTGCAAGAATTACCAAAATGTGACACAAATAGGAAGTGAGGAGATGATGTTGGAAAAATGATGCCAATAGATTTGCTCAGTGCCAGGTGAACACAAACCTTTAATTTGTAAAGTAAATGAAATATTTGTGAAACACAATAAAGCAAAGCACAATAAAATAAGGCATTCCTAAATAGTACATCTTTAATTAAAACTAACAAGGATTTAGTTTTTGTCATTACTGTTGGTTTTAATTTTTACATGGGATTTTCCATTTTATCATTGTCCTTGCACTTTGGCTAATGCTCATTAAGAATTGGTATTATTATGATTTTGAACTTTATTGTATACGTGTAATTTATGAAAATTGCTGTTTTGGTACAGACAGATTATCTGAAAGATGGAACTAAACACCCTTCGATATGTTAGCTATCACATAAGAAATGACACTTAAGAAAAAAATTAATTGGATACAATTTCAAAAACCATTGTTATTGATTGGTATATGATAGTTAAGAGTTTTATAATCAATTTTCATGCTAATTAAAGCCAAGAAAAAATATTTGAAATGTCATGTGTATTTGACTCTTAAATATGTTTATCAGAGTTTTTATTATCTTTTGTAACAACAGGCTTTACTATAGTAAAAAAAATTAAAAAGGGAAAAAGAGACTTGAAAGATTAGATCATCAGTTTCTGAACCCATAATACAGTGTGTGTCCCTGATATTTAAAAGTTAAACATATTAGATTTTTTCTTAACTTGGAAAAATTCTGTATAATATCCAAGTTTTAAAATATGCAATTTTTAAATTGTGTACTTGTATTTTAGATATCAGATCATTGTACAAATGATGTCAAAATTGTGGGTTCAGTTTCCCTTCCCATTACTAGTTACTTTAAAGAGAAAAAATATTACCATGGACAGCACTTGAGCTAGTCAAAAGCATGGCAAGGAAAATTTTAATGTAGTTTTCTCAGAACAACTTGATAGAACACAGTCAAATAAAAATGTTTAAGTTAATGTCTTACTGGTGGTGGGCTTTGTTATCTTTTTAAAATAAAGCATAGTATATTCTATGTATATTTTAAGTTCTCAAGTTTAGTCAAGATATGTAACAAATATAATTTTGTAACTTTAGCTGACACTAGATCTATTATTAATAGTCACTTGTTCTAACAGGTCAGACCACTTATATGCCTTCTTCATTCAGTGGAGTCCAGAAATATATGCAGAAGATACTGGTGAATATACCAGAGAACCTGGATTCATAGTTGTAAAAAAGATTGAAGAATCTGAAACAAACGAGGATTCATCTAATGAAGAAGCAGCCAGAGAATGGGAGGTAAGAAGAAAAATGTGAAGATTTCGTTCATCTTTTTACTTTGTGTGAATTTATAGCTTTATGTTATATAGGAAAATACACAAAATCTTGGTACAAAAGAATACTTTCTTTAAAAGATTCATTGCCCATGTATATTTGTGTTTATTGAATGAATCTGATTAGTAACTTTGATTCGTTACTTTTTCTCTTTTTTTGCTTTTAATTATTAGAGAAGCAAAGTATCAGCAATGAAGTGACTTATTGAATGCATTTTGGAATAATATCAATTGCTATTATACTAATTTTTGAGAAACATTTTTCCAGGTCTGATTTATTACTATTATCTCCTACATGGGGCAGGTACACAGCAGTCATTTACCACATTCATGCAAATTACTACTCTTTTCTAAGTCTATACCCAAGCATTCTTGATGTGAATGTAAAAATAATGATAGGGAAAAAAGCTGTTGCTTATTTATAAAATAGGTTAAATATTTTGTGCTCAAATTTGATGAATTTATCTATATGGGCAAATTAATAATAATCGACTTTGTAATCCCTATTAAATATATCTTTTAATATTACATATGTTTTACATGTTTTGTCTTGTGGGATTGATAGGGTGGCAATTACTGGTTTACTTATTGTGATTGCCTAGATTAATCTCTTCTTGATGTGTTAAAAAATATAGAGCAGATGCTAAAATGTGATTATAAAAGAGATCAAATTTTGTTATCCATTTGGTGTTAATGTTCGTGATTGTGTATGTGATATAAATTTATTGTGCATGAAGTTAACATGTATAACGATGGAAGGTATACATGGCATGTCTTTTATTTAAAATGTGAACCTGATTTTAAATGTCCAGTCTGTGTAGTATATACAACAGTTTCTACTGTAACTCTAATGTAATGGCGGGAAAGAGGTAGCATATGTTAGGCACATATTATAAATTCTTTTAATACTTAAACCAACATTATTAATCTTCTCACCAGCTTTATTCACAATAGCTCCAAACTGAAAACAACCTGAATGCCTATGAGCAGTATTCTTTAAAGCTCCTCATTGTGCAGTACAGATGGAAAAACCACTATAGTATACCCCATGCCACCACTTCAGGTACTGCATTAAACTTATACAGTGCTAACCCTGGAAGTACTTTCAGAGTATGTTGATCACAATGTATTTTAATTTTCAAGTCTCTGTTATGCAAGTTACATTGTATAAAATATTTTTCAAAATATTCTTCTTTTTTTGATGTTGCTGCATCTGCATTCCAAAAACATAAATTTGGTTCACTTTGGAGAAAAATTTCTTTAATCATTTGTGCCTTGATTTTTTAAAGCATGTTTTCTTATCAGTAGCAGTCATGCTGATATAATTTCTTCAGGCATAGCTCCCTTACATACCAAAGGACTCCTATCAGGTCTTAATTTCCCTCTCCTTATAGTGCCCCTGAATACGCATACCAGGCTGTAATTTAGTTATCTGTGCCTCTTGAACTTGTTCATCAAATATTCTTTAAAGTTGATGTACTTGACAAGTACCCAATAGTCCATTGGTGTAGTCTAAAGCAGCAGCCACCACAATAAGCCTGAAATATCTTTGAAGCCTGTTTCATCTTTAAGATTAATATGAATTTTTCATTTGTCGTCTTAGTGTACCTGATGTAATATAAAAATATTTTTTAAATTTCTTGCCATGAAGTGAAAATGATGCTACAGTAATACAGGTCAGTTGTATCCTGTCAGTAGGTGGTATCATGGCAGATTACTGCACATTGGGCTCTATCATCTTTAACCCCAAATACCAACTTCAAGAGGCTCTCTAGTAGAACCCTTTGAAAGTTTTAGAGTATCACATGTATTGGCTGTGCCTTCTTGCTGCTTGATGACACAGGCCTCAAAAGTGAAGCTTTTAAAACTAAAATTGCTTGTCGTCCCACTTCCTTTGGGTTGAATTTCACTCCTTTGGGGATAAAGCAGAAAAGGTTTTTCTTTTTTTTTATCCTATCGCTAACGTTAATTTTATACAACTTGTAGTTCAGTATCTCCTACTCCAAGCCAATTGTTAAAACATCCAGTGCTATTGGGATGATAAAAAAACAACAAAGAAATTGACTTTATTAAATTAGCTTTAATTGATTTATTTAGAAGTTTACCTCCCAGGTTTATGCGTATTGACTAAATTTTAAAATATGAGTTTACTAAGACAACAGTAATGCTTGGTATTAGGAGAAAATTGCTCTGGGTTACTTTCCACTTCTTACACTTACTGAAGTATTGATAAAAATATGTTCCATTTGATCTTTGGCTTCTGAGATGACTTGTTCATTTTTATGTGCTGACATTACTCACATTTTCTTAAACAGTTATTTATTTGTGAGTGTAAATGTAAATAATGTTGACTACTTGTTACATAAATCTGTACAAAGGTTTTGTACTTAAAATACTTTAGAATCTACCTTCTGACTTAGATAACTTTTTAAATCATTTATAGACTTCCCATTTTGATATTAAATTTTAATGTTCTCCATTTTAACTATGTAAATATAAAATAATTAACCTATTATTAGCATTTTAGGCCATAAAGTGTATTATAGTATGTCCTTACTAGAGGCCTGGCGCACAAAATTCATGCACAGGTACGGTCCCTAGGCCTGGCCTACGATCAGGGCCATCTTCCCCACCTGCCAGCAGCTGGCTCTGGCACCACCACCACCTCCACCGCCACCCACCCCCGGTTCCCCGTTTACCATTGGGCGATCAAGAGCCTGCTGGCTGGGAGGAGGGAATGAGAGGTTGGCTGTTCCTGCCTGCTCTCCAGTCGCCCTCTGTGTGGGGCAGGGGCCTTGGCCTGGTGCTGCCTGCGTCTGCCAACACCCACCCCCAGTTCCCTGTCCCCCATCATGTGATTGGAGCCTGCAGACCAGGAGGAGGGACCGAGAGGTTGCCCAGCAGGCCCCAATTGGGCAATCAGGGCCTTCGGGCTGGGGGAATCTCCTGCATTGAGTGTCTGCCCCCTGGGGGTCAGTGTGCATCATAGCGACCGGTCGTTCCGCCGTTCAGTCGATTTGCATGTTACCCTTTTATTATATAGGATTGGATTTAGTTTTCCACTAGAATGGAGTCAGTTCTGCTTTCCTAATTGTCATTAGTTAAGCAAAATTATTGCCATGATTGTTTATTAGGTTACTCATGGAAGACTTTTGCAGCAGTTTGATATTGCTGCAATTTCTAAACGCACCAATACCGGGAGGCTTCAGTTGGATGGTACATATTTCAATTCTTAAACTGCCAGATATGAGTATTCTGGTGTTCATCTTATTAAGCACATGGGTTTCTTTTTTCTTTTTAATTAAAGAACAAGTAATACCAAAATTAAAAAAGAGTCAATATATAAAACTGAACAAAACATTCCTTATCTCTTATCAGCTGACCAGCAAAATCCATACAGAATTTATTTTGTTCAAAATGAAAAGTCTCTGTGTCTAACTCACTAAATAGGGTGAGGTCACATTTCTCAGATAAAGGCAATTGAAGTACCTTTTTATATTGAACAAATCACATAGCATTACAAATCATAACCCCAGAAGAAATTCAGTAAATCTAAAAAGGTAGAAATCAAAAGTATTAAAAATAATTAGAATTTATGAGTAAATACAAAAATTGTCTTATGTAATATTTCTACATTAGGCATTTTTAAAAACACTTTATTGAAAAAAACACTTTATTCAGGAATAATTGACATACAAAAAACTATCCATATTTAATATATGCTGCTTGATATGTTAAAGTTTGGAGACAATTATACATTCATGAAATCATTACTACAGTGTATGCCATAAATATTTTCATCAACTCCTAATCTTCCCACCCTCTTTCGTTGTTATTATTATTATTATTATTGTTATTACTTTGTATTAAGGACACTTTTTAAAAAATTATTTATTGTTTAAAGTATTACATATAGTATTATGTATTAAGAATACTTAACAAAATATCTACCCTCTTAGAAATTTTCAAGTGTACAATACAGTATTGCTTAGCAATACTTTATTAGCATTTACCACCCAGAATCATGCCTAATATGGTCTGTTTTAATTACTAATAATGTTAAATGAGTATGTTATCTACCTCAGGAAAGTTTTGAATTAATGCTTCACTTTCCCTGTTAATACTCTTCCTCAGTTACTAGCCAAAAGTTATGGGCTATAAAATTTTCATTAAAAATCAAAAACGTTATTTAATGCAGATTGAGAAGAGACAAGATGGATGAATGACAGACTATTTTATGACTTAAAATATTAAAATTACTTTGAGAGATCAACCAAAGGACTTGAATGCATGCATACTAGTATAAGCCTAACCAATGGACACAGACACCAGGGGGATGAGGGCATGAGTTGGGGGGTGGGGGAGGAATGGGGGGATAAGGACACATATGTAATACCTTAATAAAGGAAAAAAAAATAAAGTGAAGGGCAGTAAAATAAGATATGCCTGTATAAATATTTTAGTTTTGTTTTCCTGGAACAATGATTGTTTTCAAAGCTGGGGAACCACTCTGTAAAATACATGATTTTCCCACCACTTTGTGGTAACTCTAAAACTATTACAGAATAATACTGAATGTAAACTAATTGGAAAAAATATATAATAAAAATAAAGTATTGCTGCATGCAAAAAAATTACTTTAAATATTGCGTATGGCAAATTACATATCATTGCTTCTAGTAGACCACTCCCAATTCAGAGGAAATCAGATATAAAGTAATTCAATCATTTCAATCCCAATAAAGAAAGTAGAGGAAAAATTATTATTAAATTGAATATCTGAATTCTGAGAATAGATTATATTGTAATCTTATTTTATACTAATGATAAGTTGACATCTGCTTCTAGCTCTGGGATGTCTGGACAAATTTTAATGACCTAGCACTATATTTCTAAACATTATGAAAGAATAAAGGGCAAGAAGGAGATTTACTAAGCTTTCTTTATGTTTGCTAGATAATATGT